AGCATTTAAACCGAGCAAAAATATAACTTTTATGAAATGATAGAAATAATCATTTCAGTAAGAAGAAGTTTATACCTCTCAGCATCGCCTCCTTGCACATCGATGACAGGCAAAAAGAAATGGTTCGCCTTGCATTTTCGTAACATCATGGATAAAATCTGGAGGGCTAAGTATATAAACTCTGTGAAGAAGACTATTAACATCCATACCTTGATCTGCTGTCCCCTTGTGAGTAGATAGTTTAATGGAACACCTGTTACCCTAGCCATTTCCATGTAATTAATCACAGAAAGCAGTTTCTCCAAAAGTTTTAGCGGTAATGCAGCGTCTTTCATGCAGTAAACGGCCAATCTAGAATTCAGAGATGCTTATTCCGCCTGAACCCAAGGACAGAAGTAAGTCAACGCACCTTCTCCGAGAGTAGTCGTCACCCTTTTGTAGTTCGGGAATAAAGCTATACGCTACATCCTCCTTTTGTTCCGCCAAAAAGTGGTAAGATACACTGTTCAACGTATAACTTCGAAGCTTGTAGTCTCTGAGGACCACCTAAAAATTCGTACCTATGCATAAATTTACTGAAAAATTACCTGAAACCAAAAACAATGCAAGGATCTGGAAAATATGATACCTGCAACACATCAAAAATGATCCTTCCATGTATATCTATGCTTTTATTGACGCGGCTTCCCATCTGCTTTGAAGAAATTGGAGCATCCCGGACACCAGACGCGCGATCTTTCTGCCTTCCCAACATCGCAACCGAAGGCAATTTCAGCACCTACGATGGGATCATAAAACGTTACCAAGAAAGTATGAACAACTCATACCTTTGCTCGATCTAGGATGTATGGTAGATCAAAGTTGAGAATATTGTAACCGGTCAAGATGTCTGGATCAACGACGCGAATAAATTCCGCCCACCTACGAAAAAAAGAGTTATGGATACGTTATCTGCAGCTGTTAGCGTAGTTGCTTACCTTTCCAACAGATCTTGCTCGCTCTTGCACTCGATTATTTCGGAACCAATCACGGGAGCACATGTACCCAGCACAAAACAATTTCGGATGAATGGTACGCTCTCGCCCTCCACCTATGCGTCAGTGAATGAAAGGTTGGGTGGAATATTACTAAACAACTGTCATTCCTTACCTTGACCATATTAGCTATCTGAATGACTGGGTCTTCACTGGCATCAGGGAAGATCCCACGCCGCCCCATGCATTCGATATCAAGTGATAAGGTGCTGAAAATGCAGATTGACTTAGAGGCAGCGTCCATTAGGCTAAGAAGGAATACGGTACTGGGCGAGAATTTGAAGTTGGGTTTCTCAACTAGGAATAAGTCATATGAGCTGCCACTTGAGCAGGCTTGTCTAATCTCAACCAACTTCACATGAAGGCTCACTTCGAGCCAAGTTAAATATAAACATATCAAAGACCTTCCAAAAATGGTCTCCACGTTACACTAATAAAGAGAAGAATTCTTAAATTCTTGTATTCCTAAATTTATAATGATATATAAGCATATAAGACAAGAATGAGTAAGATGAGCCTCAAGCACAGGAAGGAAGATGATCTTACCGTATGGGAGCCACGTCTGCCCATTCGCCTTCCGGGTCATGTGCTATGAGATCTTCAAGTTTCACTTCAACCTCAAGCTGACACCTAAAAACTACTTTATACTATCTCTCAACTGAATTTATATGATGCTAAGAACGTCACCTCGAAGTATTCGCCTTCCCTTCATGAATTTTTCCTTTACCAAGAGGGATCTCTACCCAACCACAGCCTACGACTCCACTATGCGCCATGAATTTCACCTCAGGGTCAATGTTCGCTTCATAGAGGGTGCCAACCTAAGAGGATTTGAGTTCAAAATAAGAAGATGACAAGTGCAACTCCAGACCTGGACTGGACCGTTTCCATAATTGAGACCACCACTTTTCAACTCTTGCTTGGCTTTGTTCAGTGCATTAGTTGTACCACTGACCTTGATGAACGGATATTTCTTCTCGGAACCTCAAAACAAAATGTTAACGTTTCCTAAAGTTTTCGTAGCTAGCAAATTTTGGATTATGAACGAAAATGGTTCAGGCACGAAAGAGAAACTTTAAAATTGCAAAAAAATGAATGAGATATCAAGAGATTACTTTAACAAAATTGACCAAGATCCAAATCAAAACTTACCTCGATAGTAGTAAACATTTTCACCCTGTACAATGCTCAGCCGTACAAGATTCTCCACAACTGTCGTAGACATCTGCAGATTCGAGTTCGCTCGACGTAGTGCTATGGCTACTGCATTATTCAAATGTCTTTGAGCTACATCCAAATGCTCTGGAGCAAAATTCTCGGGTGCCTGAAAGGGAAGCATTCAGAAGAAGTGCATACACAGCCTGCTGAAAGTTAAATTGTACCTGGAAGTAGAAATGAGGAAAGTAATCGGTCACGACTGCGCAGACTGAGTTGCCGAGTCGGGTAACACCGTATAGTTTGATATTGGTTCTATCAAAGGTCGTAGCTGTTCCCGGTTCGTGGAAAGATTCAATATCGAACACCTAAAGCCATAAAGACGTTTCCTAGTAAATGCATCGCCCAAAAAGTTGAAGATCTCGGAGATTTTGTCAAAACTTTGTATAAAGGGTTCTTCGACAAGCTGGTCTTGTATTATATTCTTTCGCTACGGTATATTGTGGATTACGGTATGTTTGGGTAAGGAACCAAGATCCTTTTCGCATAAACTTCACCTTGGGGGTTATCCAAGATGCTGATCACATATATCATACTCTTTACGCGCGGCATCTGCTCGTTGGGTTACGGGGGTGTACGTCGAAATGCTGATTTTTATTGCCAGCCGGACATCAAATAGCATGTATTTTGCGTTGTACGATTTTTGGTGGCATTAGAAGATGTAAGGAGATGCACTACTTATCCGCACGGGTTGTTCATTCTTATTACCGCAAAAAATTCAAAATACACATGGTGAGGTCACAACCCTCGAAAATGCAGATGATATCAAAGGCAGCGACTCGGCAGAACTTC